ACGAAGGGTCTAGGCCCGAAACGTCAGCCTTCCTGCTCCTCTGATGCTGCTTGGCCTGCTGTGTTCATCCAGCTCTACACCTTGTTATCTCAGTTTCTCCAGCATCTGCAATTCCTACTATCTCTAACGCAGCGAGGACAGTTCCTTTTAACCACAACATAAAGTAACTACAGTTCTTTGACTGTGATCTTCACAGAATTCCTGAACCCAGGCCAGTACATATATGAGAACCCCAGTCCCACTAGCCCACATACGTAGAGTTAAAACTGGCTGTTTAACCCTGTCCTTGTTTATTCTTCAGAGGAAAAACACAAAATGTGTCTACAGTTTAGGTCAAATTTACAGAGGTCAGCTTGCTGTTGAAATTGGGTTTTTAGCCCCTCGTTATCTTTATCGTCTCAAGAGATCACAATCCAGTCTGTTTTGTCTTGCCTCTTTTTTTGAAGAAATTTTTTTTGATTCCCTTCACATCTTTAGGTATGACATTTCATAGATCACTCTTTCTGAACATCCATTTAATCTACTTCTACAACAATTTTTGGCTGTATTGCTCCTCATTTTTAAAAAAAATAATTTTTGGAATTGCACATTTAAAATGTCCACAGTGACCTATGGTCATGACAAGCAATAAGCTGCTCATTATTGCTTATTTAGAGCTATTCAGTTCCTTCGGCTTATAGTCTACCTTCCTGACTTTTCAAAACTTGTCCATCAATTAAAAGGCACAAGTCAGGACTATGATGCAATGCCTTCCATTTGCCTCAATGAGTTTAACTCCAATAATATCCAAAAAATTTCACGCCATCCAAGACAAAGCATCTCATTAAATTGGCACTCCAGCCACTCCCTTAAATATTTACCCTCTCTTTGATTGGCATACTGTGGTGACAGTGTTTACCTTCGACAACTTGCAGTGCAGCAACTCAGCAAACCTCTTTCAACAGCACCTCCAAATCTGTGGACACTACCATCTAGAACAATGGAAGCACGCGCAGGGGATTACCACCATCCATACATTCCCCTCCAAGTCACTCGCCATCCTGATTTGAGTCTACATTGCTGTTCTTTTACTGTTGTTGGGTCGAAATCCTGGATTTCCCCCAAAACAGCATTGTGATTTGTCCCTAAGGCACACAGGCTACAGATATCAAAGATGTACAACACCACCACCACCTTCTCAAGGATAATTAAAACAAACGCCACAGAAATTAAAGATAAAAGTCCTGACATTAACACATGGGTGGCATTGGAACATGTGGATAGTAATCTGAACTGGAATTGCCCTAGAAATAACAGCCAGACTATTTTAACTACCAGAACTCATTTAAATCTTGTCCTCTGACTATGTACATGGAATTAGAGATGCCAATGGGCAACTGAAGAAATTTATACTGTCTGGAAGTACATGTTATGTGGCAGGATCAACCTCTGGGGCCATCTTGTGAGTACCTCTCATTTGGGAAAAGTGGATGAGCCCAGGGTCTTAACTATCCTTAAGATCAGTGAAAATATATCACTTTGGACAATTTCATGTTCTAATTATCTTCCTTTTATCAATGGTTTTGTCACTCAGTTTACTAGTTAAGTTCAAATCAAATTCCAATAACTTAATCACGATTGTATAGTATATGTAAACAAGGTCCTGCTTAGTTTGGGCATGCATCCTCAGCACAACATGTTAAGTGTGAAAATCACAAGATGTGACTTTTCATCAGCTAAGTAACTTAAGCAACATTAACCACCCACCATTTTCTGTTAGTTGAGTAGAGTTGAAATCATCAAAGCAACAGCAACTTTTTGGAAGGCCAGCAAATGAAAGTAGTGAGTGTTTAGTTATGTTGGGATATTCAAGACCTGTTAAAACAATCAATGTCAACATGTCTAAGACAGCATATTTGTGTAGAATCAAATCATACATCACAAAAGTTGGCTGTTCAGCCGATCATGCTTCTACCGGCTTTTTAAAGGAGATATCCAAATAGTCCAAATAATCCGACACTTTCAACAAGTGTAAGTGTTTACACATCAAATATTTTTTCAATTCCCTTTTTAAGTTATCTAATTGGGTTCCAGCACTCTTTCAGCTAGCACATTCCTGATCATGACAACTTGTTATGTAAAATAAATTCTCCCCACTTTGCCTTTGATTCTCTTGGTAATTACCTTAAAAATCTGTGACCTCTGGTTAAAGACTCTTTATAACCTTCTCCATGATAAAAACCCCAGCTTCTCTACATAACCCAGGCCTTTTACCCATTCTAGTAACTCCCTGCACCTAACACAGTTCCTAAAGTGTAGTGCATAAATTGGACACAATACTCCAGATACAGTCGAATCAGTTATTCCTGAATGTTTAGTATAATCAATTCCTTTTAAGTCTTTTTAAAAATTACCTTCTTGACCCGTCCTAACACCTTTATGGATATACAGACATTCTCTACAGGCTTTCTCCACTCCTCGGTAAAATCACACCATTTAGATTATATTATTTCTCTTAATTTCTCCTATCATATGAATTATTTCATACATATCCAAATGAAAATGTATCTTGAAAGTGTCAACTCACTTTTTAAGTCTATAGTCTTAAGACTTGCAATTCTTATGGCTGCAAGTTATATTTGGGTTTTGTGATATCCATAAATTTGAAAATTATGTCCTGTATCGCCAAACTCAATCATCCTATATACTAATATACTACTGTATACTTCTACCCAGTTTCACGAACTTCAACATAACTTCTCTTTAATCTGTCTCAGCCAATTTTTGTATTCCTGCATAAGCCCAATAAATCTCTTAAAATAATTTAAAAAACTGTACTGTTTTCAGTTGTGGCTGTAACTTATTGCAATTCTTCTACACGTGAGTAACCTGCTCCCTATTCTCCCCTGCAGAGAACATCTTTGTGGTTCATTAAGGAGCCTAACCCGAACCTTGTGAACATCTCGCCCGTTGTTACGTGAGGTCGCCCGTTGACGTCTCAGCGTCATGACGCATTGCACGTTCAGCGTGCTGACGCTAACGCGCGAGCCCTCGGACTGCAATGATTTAGAAGTTCAGGAATCCCACGTGACGTCACCAGAGGGTGATGTAATGCTTCTCTAAATAGAATGTATTGTAATCTTCTCTCAGTCCAACGTGGTTCCTCACAGACCCGCTTCTTCTATTAGAGTTTCGGTAAGTTATTGAAAAATTACAAAAGGGCACAGGACGACAACCACTCAGGTACTTTGACCCCTTTTGTGCACTTTCCCAAGTGAGTTGTTTCTGTAAAACATTGTTAATTTGCATCTGTTTGCATTTTTCCTCCTTTTTTGCTGATGTTAAATAGTAAACAGTAATTGTATTGGTACGGACACGGGGGGTGTGTTATGGTTTCTAAACTGTTGATGGTTACTATTCGCAAGTTAAAAACTAAGAAGAACTGTCAGGTAAGATCAGCCATTTCATGGAAAAAAGTGTGTTTAAATGAAAGTTCCTTTTGAGAAATGTTGTAAGGAAAGTCATTAGTATTCTTGCGCTGTTTTTGTCTGGCATCCTGGCTTGTGATATCGTCTCCTTCACAGAACAGGGACGACGAATGTGAGTTTTCAGAAATGGTGTGAAAAAAAACTTGTGTGAAAACCGGCTGGTAGAAATTAAAACTTTAGTTTCAAATTACTGCTGATCTTCAGTTTGCAACAGTTCAGAGTTAGTTTTTGCTGTCAAATCACGACAAATAATGGACCAGTTGTACAAGATATCAATGATAGTACCCTTGCTTAGATGCTTCCTAAGTGAGTTTGAATACAAAAAGTGGACATCTATTAAAGATACATGGAGTTTGTAAATGTGTGGAGATTAGCGAAAGACTTTTCTTGACACCCTAAGTTACTTAATTAAGTTTCCCCGCATTAATATTAGATCATTTAAAAAATCTGATTGACTGTGTTCTTTGTCGCTCAGGTTCATAGAGCGCTATATATTTAGGTTTGTTCATTTCAAATTGTTACCACTAAGTGTATTTTGTTAATTTATATCAGAACCGGGTTATAGTTGGCCATTACGTCATTCTGGAGCCTATTAAGTATGTTTGATTAACAGCCTGCAATATTGAGGGTTCAGGGGCCAGGTCTGCTGACAAAGCATTCTCCTTTTAAAGCCCATTCATCTAAAAAAAACTAAAGATAAAACGCTGTAATAAACCCAGCAAGTGTACTTCTCCAAAGTTATTCCATTTAAATCTATATAATATTATGTCTTTCCCCGGCATCCTTCAATAGATACTGTGCTTGTTTGTAAAGCAATACATCCAGACTTGAAACTTATTCTCTATTATTGATGAACTGGTTCGTCCAGAGTCATTAATCAAGAGTTTGCAGCACCCATCACCACCAGTGTAAAATTTTTAAGCAACTTTCAGAGGCGAGGAATGGAGAAGTGTGAAACTGTGCCATGCACGACTGAATGGATTAAAACTTCGATTATGTCGTAATGTTGCTTCACTTATAATAAAATATATAATTATTTCTTCGCTGTAATGTGAAAAAAACCTTGGGTTAAATAAGTCAATTAGGTTTACAGTGGTTTTCCAGGAATTATAGCATTCCTGCCGAGCTGTTCGAGATCGCACCTAATAGCAGATCCCTCACCAAAGTTGAGACAGTGCCTGCGGTTGCACTTGCAGTGTTAATTATTTGCAGCAGTGTCTGAATGCCAAATTGCCGAGGAATTCCTCAAGGGTGCAGGCATTGCCGAGTTCAGGTTGGCCACCTGGTCAGGCTTTCAGTTTGTTTGGAGAATTTCGCGCGGCGCCTTCGTGGGGGGGGGGGGCAGTTGTCGCCCGAGAGTCAGTCCGTCCGTTCCTGTGGAAAAAGTGGCGGAAAAAGTTCAACTATTCTGCTTCCCAGCCGCAACCCCGTGCGGCTAGGCCACTTAACAGCATGCGGGCGGGACTACTTCTCCTTTGCCCTGTGTAAGTTGCAAATGAAAGGTTTAAACTGCGTTAGCGACTCGAAATGTTGCACTGAAAGTGATTGCGGTTCTCCTATCAGGAGAACCATCGCTAGGGACCGCGCGCGCACTGCTGCAGAAAGTCTGACTGACCGCCAAACCCTTCCCCTTCATTAGCCTGTTATTAAGAGCAGCACATAGACGGGGAAGAGTTCGCTTCACAATCATTCAGGGTGATCTGACCGAAAATGTGGCACCTTCGTTGAGAAGATTTTAAGGCTAAACGATCATTCAAAATCTATTCACGACTTTGCACTTGATCTTCAGAAACGCCGTGCAAACTCTATGAAGAGTGTGTACATCAACAAATTGCACCGGCCGCCTCGTATTAACTGAGAAGAAAAACCTTTTCGCAAATTCAGTCTGGCGTGCTAAGGGTTCCAGACAGATGGATAAATACCTAAATCGAAGTTTACAGCGTCTGCACTTACTGAACTGTTGATGAAGTCAGCGCGATCGAGAGAACTGGATGGCGCAGTGTTTACTATACACACACAGGCTACTACTGTATTCAAGTTGGTGTTCTGCCGTACAGACCCCAAGAGAAACAAATTGTTGAAGTCATGGATCAAAAAGTACTGTGAATCTCCCACTAAACAGTAAGCGTAGAGTACTAGAAGAGTTGGAAAACTAAATGACAGTAAGGCAAATTCCCCCTGACGTTTCGAGGTGCAATTCAAGGAAAAATGGATAGTTATTTGCAATATGACTCATCCTTAGGTTGTGTAATAAATAGCTTGTAATATAAGTTCATATAAATATTAAATGTTAGAGATGCACGATTGATTTCCATGCGGGCATTACCTTGAAACTCAAATTGACTACATTAACTTCGATGGGCCGAATGGCCTAATTTCTGCTCCTATGTCTTATGGTCTTAAATTCTAAGATAGACAACTCATTTTCTTTCTATGAGTAAAATAACGACATAAATCTATGTTCGGGATTCATGGTCAATTGTGGTTAATACAGCCCTTGAAAGTGAGGGTTCCTAAACGCAGTATGGAGGGATCACAGGAAGCCCTCTTACAGATATAGAAATGAGGTACTGTTCAGCTGGATGTTAACAATCTCATAGTTCGATTTGTTGTCTTGCCCAATAACAGGTTATCTGATTTTCATCTCATCATTGTTGCTTCTGGTTCAGTGTGCAAATCGTTGCAATTTGCCAGGCAACACATCAAAAGTAATTCATTGGTTGTGAAACACTTGTCTTGAGATAGATAGAATGAAGTGCTATATATAAATGTAATCATACGGACTAATATATGTTGGAAACTTCAATAATTTAGCTTTTGGGGAGACTTGTTGCATATTATTTCCTGCTGAATACACTAAATAACAATGATTTTTGTTTTTAACATAAAAAAAGGATGCGATCAAACACATGAGAAGCAATTTCAGCAAAAGTATATACAAATAAATTACAGTGTAATTTTTAACAGGTGAAGACCCATTTACGACTGTGTTTGTATTCTATATCGTGCCAGGCTAATTTAAGTAGTTTATACATTGGAATGTTAACCAAAATCTACGATTTTAACAATATTTCCCAAGTTGTAGAGTTTATAGGATTAAATCCTGTAAGAGAGACCAAGTGTGATTTAGTGATTGACGAGTTAGCTTTTTGAATCGTAAAGCTGGGGTTTTGTCCTTTATGTAAGATGCTCAGGGATGAAGAGAGAATATATTTACAAATTTATTTGAGGGATATTTGTCTCTTTGTTTTTGTTTGCAATATATAATTTATTGCTAAACTGCTATGGCTTTGAAACTGACAAACTCCGTTAAATATAAATTCCTGACAGCACTTGTATTTTTAACACCAGTGAAACAGCAACTCCTTTGCTCCCCCTCGAGAAGGTTTCTGTACCCTCTCTGCTCTTTGCTCTGTCTCTTCCATTTCTGCTGTCAACAGTCTCTGTTTACCTCTGCCCCATCCCATGACAAAAATAACATCTATCTCCAGGTACAGCCTATCACCCCTTTCACCTCAACAAGACTTCTTTTTTTTATTCCCCTATCCCACTTCACTTGGTCACATAAAGATGGATGATGATTTCAACTGGCTTACTTGCAGTAAAGGTACAAACCTATTTTAGTCCAAGATTAGAACTCACTTACTAACGCAGGCCCAGCTAGGTTTGCAGAGAACAAGACCACAGAGACACAGTCTGGTCACCAAGGCTCAGAGAGCAGCAGTCCCCATTTAAATACAGAATGGAATGGGGAAAAGAGCTTAGAATTGCTGTGAAGAGAAAAATACCAAGTAGATTGATGGGTGACTGGGAGATAGGCAAAGTGCCAGTCTAATGGATGAAAACAAGTCCAATAGAACCTGCATGTCAGAATTACCAGTCCCAGCTATGCATTTCTTTTCGGGGAGAAAAGCAAGTGGGACAGTCAAAGCTGATAGTTTGTGGTCTGGATTAAGTGTTATCTTAAAACAGACAGATAGCCTCTTAGAAACTCAGTGTATATGGAATGAACAGCCAGAGGAGATGATGGAGGCGTGTATAATTACAACATTTAGAAGGCATCTGGATAGGTACATGAATAGGAAGGGTTTAGAGGGATATGGGCCAAATGCTGGCAAACGGAACTAGATTAATTTTGGATATCTGATCGGCATGGATGAGTTGGATTGGAAGATCTGTTTCCATGCTGATTCCTTCACCCAAGAGCCAATATGTTCAATTTGTTACAATTATTAGAATGATTTACTGCTATATTCTGTGGTTTCTCCCACCTTGTTCACTAAAAAACATGATATTCTCAAGAATACTAATGTAGAGGGGAAATGACATTTAATAATTTATGAGAGGAGACTGCTGATTGTTTGTTTGGCAAATGGACTCTGGATGGTAGAGATGTTACTGTGGAGAATACATCATATTGGTATTCTTGGGAATATTACAATGAATGCAAGGTGAAATCCTTTGACAAAATATGTGTAAATTTGGCAATATTCAAGTTTTTTATTACAAAATTGCTATTTGTATAACTGACTCAGTTAACAAAGACCAAATTTGAAACATCAACCACATAGATTGGTAAGTTAAGAACAGGTAAACTCTTAATTTAGTTTCTCCAAGAGAGTGCTATACCCAAGATTGTGTCAGTTTTCACTACCAAGCATATTCATAATTCTAAAGTGAGTCACAATTGTGCAATTGAACAAATGT